CCCTTTTCCTTGTAATCGCATGTAGTTATAAATAATCTGTGTTGCTTTTTTTCTCTTTTTTTTTTTTTTATTTTCCAATAGAAGGACATACTGCAGTACTATTCAGGGAACTGTTATGCTGTTTCACTATGAAGCACTCACAGAAATCCACACGCATTTATCGATTTTTACAATTTAAATTAACATAATCACGCTTTACCATCAACCCCTATCGTAAATCATCTTCAACCCCTATCTTTATCCTCCCTTTTTCTTTCCAGTACCAGTCTGTGGTTTCTGTTATGAATTATTCTTTGCATAATTTATTCTTCCATATAATTCATTATGATCTGTGTGCTGTGATAATGTTCAACATAATTGGACTGATATAATGCGAGGATAACGACAATATCAGAAGAAGCAATGGATATGGACAAAACAAAACTGACACGGCGAACGTTTTCCACAGGAAACAACTGTTTCCGCAAGTTATTTTTCGGCGCAAACCCATGAACATATTTCAAAAAAGCGATTTTTAAGCGAGCAGATGTCCAACCTGATTCTTGTATTCATCGTCTGTGCTCTCGCACTTTTCCAAACCCTTCTTTTCCTCTTCATTTTTCACTTCCGAGAAATCTGCCGTGCTTGCAGTAGCTAAAAGAATTTTATGTGCCAAACAGTCCAGAACAATCCAAAACAGTGCAAACAATCCAGAACAATCCAAAACAGCGCAAACAATCCGGAACAATCCAAAATAGCGCAAAAAATTCAGAAAAATCCAAAATAGCGCAAACAATCCAGAACTTTCACGTCCATCAGTATTTTTAATGCTGTAGATCAAAAACGACGTCCAGACTGTCAAAATGACATAAAAATGTTTTCATTGCATTCTCAAAGCCAATCTTGATTCATGCATATATTCAAGTAATATAAATGACTATGAAATCTCACGAACCACGGCTAACAGTGAATGACTTCATCAAACATCCCCTCACAAGATCATCTAGAGAACTCGTTGCAATACTGTGACGTTCAAGCGAACCGGGCCTGAAATGCAAACACATATCATGCGT